TATTAATACATATTCAAGTACATTCTTTCCAGTGCATTCATAAAGTATAGTTATTATAAGTACTTGGTAATCAGAAAACCAGTATGGTGTACTGGTTAAAGCATCAAGGCTAGAAACCGGAAGGCTGTGAGTTCTAGTGCTGACTTGGATACAAAGCCAGCTGAGTGACCTACAGCCAGTCACTTTCTCTCACCTCTAGGGAAGGAAGGAATGGTAAACCACCTTTAAAAAAATTTTCCAAGAAAACTGCAGAAATTTTTCCAGGCAATCTCCAAGAATTGGATGATTGAATGGAAGGGAAAAAAACTGCTAATGCATGACATCAGCAGAGACATTCAGCCAAAATACTGATTCTAGGGAGTACTCAGGGAGAAAAAAAAATGGAAAAAATGCACTAGCCTTAATATAGATAACATAACTTGTGCATCCTCAACCGCAAAGCTGCCAAGTCAATTACCTATCAATGACTATGCAGCCACTGCAGATTTTTACCTGCCTTTTTGTTATCCCATCAATAACAAAAAAATGTTAAGGTAGTAGGAATTCCTGAACCTACTTAATTTTAAGTTAAATTTTTTTTATCAATCTTATTAGAATTTGGACTCATTGTACTTACTTACTAGATTCCCAATGTACTGGGAGAAGCCAAGAATAGCAACAACGGTAATTGCTCTAATATATTCCTGAATAGAAGATTGAAGAATACAAATAGCAATTTACTCAGCACTGCTGATATATAAAATTAAAACATTATTCCAATGGAGTACTCACAGGTCCTTCTTGAAATCACAGGAGAAAGGTAAGCAACCTTCGGTTTATTTATCAAAGTTTATTTCTTACATACAAAGGGGATAAAGAGTAATTTATATGACATTTTGAGTACAGAGTGATTTATCATTCATCTTATTCAGATGCATGTCCTCTTAGCTAAAAGGGTCATCATTATTTTTAACAGCTAATGTACTAAGATTCCAGAGAGTACAGTGCATAACTTCCTATACTTGATCTGAATTAGCACCACACTCACACTCACTAACACATTTAGTTTAGCATTCCCATTGCCATATAACTACATGCTGAAATAATTACTCAAACTTTCTAATTTTACTAAAATTAAATGGAGGCCTGAGAGAACTCATAATTGGAATCAAGGCCAGGGAAACAATCTCTATTTATCTGCTTACAATTCAATGCTGAATTAAGATTTAAAAACCTATATGAAAAATCCTAGTGGTCACTTCAGTTTTCTTTCCCAGAAAGTTTGAGAAAATAAAGTCTGTAAATATTCTATTAGAAAGCACCGATAATCTGAAAATTTCCAAATATTTCTAGAGAGTTCTTTAGAATTTGTGTTCTTGTCGGATTCTTCCCAGCTCTTTCCAATATTTAACATAAAAACTGAATGATTGTTCTCCAGTCCAAAATGCCCATACTTGTTCATTTGCCTACAACATCGCAAATCATATACCACTCTAACTTGGCACACTGAATTAAAATCTCAGGGTGGGCAAGACAAAACACCACAACTCTCACATATTTATTGTATAAAATTCATTAATCTAGCTGAATTTATGCAAAGTAAGTTTACTTAAAATCAGACTTAAGAGTTGTTTAATATCTCTTGAGCTATTTTATTCAGTGAACAAAGTAAGATATATTTTAAAAAGTTAGCTTATTATTTTAAAGTATATTATAGTTATACAACACTGCTTAGCATGCCAAATTAATGATTTTACATCCTAGCTTATAGCTTTGTCTATCATATTCCATTCTAAGCACATAAGTCAAAGAATAAAATGAAGAGAGAAATTTGGGGCTAACTGCTCAAGATTTTAAAGCTATTTAATTAAAACATTTTTACCCATGCCTCCAGAATCAATCAACTATGACAAAAACCTTTACTCTCTGTCTTTAATGATAATACAAAAAGAGTCTTTATTAAAAAAATATGTTATGCAGCCAAAAGAGGACTATATCAGATGGATGTGGAATGCATACTATAAATTAGGAATAATTATAGCAATACTTAAAGAAAGCCTTGACAAACTTCATGTTACCTCTATAGAGTCAATACATTGTTTATTTGTTCCCCACGGAAATGAGCTCAATGAATTAAATGGTACAATAGACAGTGTAACAATAAAAATCTCTTGCAGAAATGTAATGTAAGTAAGTCTATAACCCCCCCCCCTTCCAATTAAATAGTCATCTAACACTGTACTTAATGAGTTGAAAGCAATCCATTTTTGAAAAGATCCCATTTAACAACATTGTCTATTAAGGGAGGAGACTAAATTCAGAGAAGACTGAAAAATGTTTACTGTCATACCTTGGCATGCGATAGAAGGAATAAAAAGAGGGGTTAAAATGGATATGGTGTCTTACAGACAGTTACTTAAATGGGATGGACAAAACTGGCAATTAAAATCACGGGAAGAATTAGCACAAGAAAATTTTACTTATTCTTGGTTCCAATATAGGCAACTACTAGATAGATGGAAGATGGATTGTAAGGTGGGTTTTCTTAGAGAAGATGAAAATCTTATTAAGCAACTGAAGGATCAAAGACAAACCCACATTAAGAGAATTTATGGGGTTTTAGTTGAATTGGACTCAGAAACGGAACTAATTAAAGATTGTATGATTAGATGGGCGCAGAACTTTGGTGAGCCAGTTTCATTGGACACCTGGGAAACTATTTGGGTGAGAAATGTCAAATTTACTCAAGCACAGAATCTAAGGGAGAATTTTTATAAAATGTTTTATAGATGGCACCTTGATCCACAAAAAATGTCTTACATGTACCCTGACGTGCAACCTAAATGTTGGAGATGTGGTTATAAGGAGGCTTCCTATTATCATATTTGGTGGTCATGTAGAGAGATAAAAGCATTTTGGATCAAAATATGGTGGAATATCCAGAGAATTTTTAGAAGGAGGGTAAAATTTACTCCGCAATTATTTTTGTTAGGTATTGTTACAGATTGTGATACAAAGGAGGTTGTATTGATGTTAAACTTGATCACAGCCGCGAGGCTGTTAATTGGACAATATTGGAAGAAGGAATCTTTGCCTACATTGCAGGAATGGTTTTTTAAAGTAGCTTATCTGGCAGAAATGGCAAAGATTTCGGCTTTCTTAAAGCAACAAACGCAAGAGAAGTTTTTTGCTATCTGGGACAAATGGATAAAATTTATACAATTTAGATTGGGTATACAAAAATATTATATAGCTTTTTCATAAGTTTTATTTTTATATATATTATAGATATCCTTTTTATATATATAAATATAAAGTTTTTAATTTAATTTTTATTTTTTTTTTTTTTTTTTTTTTTTTATTATTATTTTCTTAAGCCTATATTCTGCTCTGGGAAGCTCAGGGGGGGGGAAGGGAGGGTTTTTGGGAGGGGTGTGGGGTGGGGGTTTTTTTTATATGTATTGTTTAATTTTTTTTTCTTTTGTATATGTTGTTTTTTGTTCTGTATTGTTCTTGTTTTTTTTTTTAAAATTTATAAAAATTTTAATAAAAAAAAAAAAAAAAAAAAAAAAAAAGAAAAATGTTTACTGTCCATTCATCATGGAAAAGAAGTGGACACAGCTGATAATGTGGCAGCTCTTTATTGAATGTAATCGCTTAAGTCAAAGCAGCCAGAAAGCTTGCTTGTGAAAATGTTGAAGTGACCTTTCTAGCATGCTAATTAACATAGTTTCAGGTGTGGATACATCAGCAATTATTTGTAGATAAAGAAGGTTTTTTGCTAGCTGTGTCATTTTAAACAAAGGGTAGAATATAATTATGATATAAAAGGAAAGCTTTCAAGTTAATCAAAGCTGTCCATTAGAGATTTTATTACATTAGTACATATACTGTACTAACACACGGATCACAGAAAATTCTTCCAATTGTAGTTAATATCACAAATTATTAAAAATGTATGCCTCATTTAGCAAACTGATGCCTAGTTAAGCATGAACATGCTTATGGACAAACTGCACATTTCTTTCTAAATCTTCATCTGCTTCTTTCGTATCTTTTATTCTAGGACAAATTTCTCTTTTTTCTCAATACCTAAAACATACTTCACCCTCTCTCCTATAACAAACTGGCTCAAAAATTATATATTTATATGCAGATTAAAAGGAATTTCTACTCTAACTGTAAACATGTTCCTCTTTGCTAACCCACCTTTTAATCTCTTTTTATTAAAGTGACATATAATGCAATAGTGATACTAATAGGATTCTAACACTCCCCCCACTGCTCCCCCGCCATGCTGTCATGCAGTCTGGACTCTACAGTGAAAATATCTGATTGAGGTCAGTGAGGAGATTTAAAGTCTCACTAATAAGTTGAATTTTTTTATGTTCAAACTGAACACTACCGGAATACCCAACTATTATAGGAAAAAATAAATCCAATTTCTTCATTTACAAAGTCTGCTGAAACAATCTTTTCAATGACAGGTAACAAGTGACATTTCTCCCAACTTTTTAAAGTCCCAGACTCAGAAACAACATTTTAAAAAAGTGAAAAGCAGTCAAAAGTTACTTTTTCTATGGAGGAATTTCAATCTCACACAAGTGCCTTAAGTTCTAAATAAAATCTAGTCATTGTTTGTCAGCTACTGAAAAAGATACATCATCTACTAGCGAATGTTTTGCAGTAGCTATGATCCTGTGCAAATCCATTCAGATCTGGGATACTTGCTCCCAAAAATGCAGTGGGTTCCTCAATGTTATATGTGCAATAAACAACTTTATTTAGATCTGTTAAACTGATCATTAGTCTTAAAGCTATAATTCTATCAGACTCTTAGGAAGGGGGACATAGAAGGGATATTTTCTTCTACAGAAATATGTGTGAGATCGGAGTGCAGGAGAATTTCAAAGGCAAAAAAACAAAGAAGCAAAAAAAAAGCGCTCCCCTTTTTTTCCTTCCCCACAAAGTAATGCCAAGACGATTAAGCATCACCACCCAAGCCCAGAGCAACCCTTTACCTTCTCTGTAGTTGCTGCTGCTGCTGCTGCTGCCGCTGCCGCTGCCGCTGCCGTGGAAAGCTCTCAAGTCTTTGTCAGTGGGGGATCCCCAGTGACACTGGCCCTTTCTAAACAGAGTGATTGTTTTGCTCCGACGAACGCGCCGGGAGACCAGGGGCAAGCCCCTCGTCCCGGTCCCGCTTTAATTCGCTGGAGATGCTGCGAAGCGAGGGGGGTGGGAATTGCAACAGAAAACAAGGCTCCGCTCCAACTGAGCTCGGCGCTGCGGGATCCCTCCGGCGGTCCCAGGCTGGGGAAGCTCCCGTCGGCCCAATTTGGGTGAGATCAGCGGAACTGGGGGGAGCGGGGAAGAAGAAGACTTGGCAGAATCAAGAGCCCCTTTCCCCGGCTGCCTTTTCAGGGCCTGTCCGTTCCGTCTCTTTCCATGCTGCCTTGGGGGAGGCAACTCCCTAGAGCCAGCCGCGCGCCCCGAGCCGCACAGAGGCCCCCACCGGCGCCCCGCGGGACCCCGAGGTGGTCGGGGTAGGGGCGCGTGGGCCAAGCTCCGCCGCGGCCTCCCCGGGGCCTGCAGGCACGCCTTGCGGGGAACGCCAGGCCCGGCTGTGGTTTGGAAAGGGTGGCGGGGAAAGCCCCCGAAAAGACGGCGAGCGATTAAAAGAGGTGGCGGCCCGGCCTGGAGAGCCGCGCTGCGCTTGGGCTGCCTTGGCTTCACTCACTCCTTCACTCTCTGGTCGCCGGCTGGGCTTTTTCTCAGCAGCGCCCCGCCGCCGCCGCCGGTCCAAATGCCACCATGCCAGCAGCCGAGCGGCCCCCTCTCCACAGGGAAGGCGGGCTCCCGGGCGGCGCTTAGCAAGGCTGCAGCCCGGGGTAGCCTCTCTCGCTTGCGGGGAAGCCGACTGAAAGCGGCAGCAGTAGCGCCACCGCCGTTCCCTCTCTCCCTCCCCCTCCTCCTCGCGGGTGGCGCCAGGAGACTCCTCGCCCTCGCGCCCACCCGGCCTCAGAACTACACAGGAGCGAAGAGCCGTAGCTCAGGGCAGCGGTAGCCACCGAGGCTCTGTGTCATCTCTGTCCGCGCCGCGGGCTGCGAAGAGGCGGGGCGGGGCCAGGCCGCCGACATACAAGCCGCCCAGTGACAGGCGGCGCACGCGGGCCCAACCAGGAGAGGCCCCCTGCTGCAGAGGCCCTCCCCTTCTCCCGGCCCCCGCCCCCTCCCGTGTCTCTTTCATCCGCTCCAGGAGAGAGAGCCAGAAAGGGTAGCGGGGGAGCGGCGGCAGGGCGACTTTTGATTCCAGTTCCGCGAAGGAAGCAATTGGGGACCCTTCTTTCTGACGCACCGGACTACTCCAGAATAAGAGCCTTCCTTGAGGTCGCCCGGCTCGGCTTCTCTACCCGGATCCGTGATAGCCGGCGATGGAGAATATCTGGTCCAAACCAAGTACCCGAAGCGAACAAGTGCACGCGGTCTCACACCTGCGCTTCCTGCTTGAAGAGCGCCGCGGGGCTCTGCGCGGACTACCTGTGTCGAAAAATCAGTGGAAAAGGCTCATCAGGGACCAAGGGAGTTCTAGATACAAAACTCCGCAAAGGGGGCGGGAAAGAGTTCCAAATGTGGTTTCGTTGCTGGTTCTGAACACTCAGCGCCGAATTTCAAAAACGGCGTGCAGCGCTAAAGCTTGCATCCTAATTTCTCGATTCTAGTTTACGATCCGAAGGAAGATAGCTAGACTAAAAGTTTGCCAGATGAGGGAGTTTATCACTTCAAGGTGAATCTGATTGTTTCACATTCGCCAAAAAGAAGGCTGTGTAATCAGGTTCCAAAGCGAAAAGGAACCTGACTTTTAACTGAAGCCAGAGAATAGACCCTGGAAGCTGATGCTTCTGTTTTAGTTTCATAAATCTTTTGTGCTTGTCTTGCCGTCTTCCCAGTTTCCATGGGGACTCCTCTGAAATTGGCACTTCGTGGGTTGTGTTCTAAATGAATAATCCCTTCTATACTCCCTCTTTCTGCAGGAGTACATATCCACATGAAATCATACCCACAGGACTGGGTGCACTTAGAAACATCCTTGGAGCCACAATGTCTTGCATTATCTGGGCATGAAATATCCTTGCTACCTTTTGTTTAGTCTCATGATGTTTCCTTCATCACATCCACAAGCTACATCTGAGACGGCTTCAACTCATTGTGTGCCATTCTAATATTAACCTTTTAAGCAACAGATTGCTTCAGTTTCACAGGACAAGGAACCTGACACATTTCAATACCAATTTGTTCAGGGTCATCATTAGATGACTTCATATGGGGGGACTCAATCCTGAACTTACTAGTCACATTAGGGTGGTGTGAACATTCTTCCTCCTCTGAAGTGGAGGAGGCTTACCAGAGCCACTCCACTGTGGGCAGTGGGAGAATTATTTCAAATTGGCTACTTCCAGTGGACCAGACGTACTTGTAATAGTGAAAATAGCTGCACAGAGAAGTGGAAGGGAGACCCTCAGAGTTTTCTCTCTTTCTCACTTGTCATGTCCAACAATTGTTATTTAGGTTGCTTTTAGACATGGGTTCAGAACTATTCCAAAATAGTATCATTCTACAACTTCTGCTGGGAAGTTATCTTCGAATGTACCTGCACAAAACACTTGTACAAAAACAGAACAATTTTTGACAGATGGCCAATCAATTGCAAGTACAACCAAGAGAGTGGTTGTTGGATGTTTTCCAGCCAATGGTGTTCAGTAGGAGGAGAAAGGAAGCAAGCCAGGGGAATCCAGAAATGCCTATCTTTAATTAGTTCTGCCCACCATAAATAAGGAAAGCACCATTTGTTGGTATCATGCTTATGAGAGGATAGAAATTGCCTGTGGGTACAGCATATTTTATGCTGGTATAGTTCTCTGCCAGCTCAAGCATTTTAACTTAGGTGAAAGGAAGAAATCCGATTTATATTTAGAACAGACGTATTTCAGACCTTTAGGCCATATTTAAGTAAGTGATGTTTATCTTAAAACTTATCTTCAGGAGATTTATTCAAACACCCATCCCTATTTTAATTCATAAGCCCAATATTATTCCCTGATATTTTCAGTCTTACCTCTTAATGAGGTTGGCTCATCTCCAGTCAATAAGTGAAAACAGCCTTGTGTAGTCACTTAATGTACTAGAATATAGGTAGTTGGTTCACCCCTAAATCTTTGTTATCTACCACAGATTTGAGACATATAAAGTCAATTATATTCCATCATAATATCCATTATCTTGGAGTTTTAATAGTGGACTTGTTGCCAGGATGACCAGAGTTGTTTTGGAAATGTTGAGAAGCATGGCCCTATATCATCTGACCTAGCCACTGGTCAAGATCAGTTCTATGTCTCTATGGACAGATGCACAATCATGGCAGGTTTGTGTACCCTCTCAGAGAGACTATTTCTATTCTAGTGTTTCTAATTATACTTTTCACTTTAGATGTTTGGGAAACATATTTCTCTGTGTTTCTTTACTTCACATTCCCTGGAATTTTTGAGAAACTGAAATGGCTACGGCAAGAGGAACAGAAAACACAGCCCAAAAGATTTTTAAAAATTATAGAATTGCATAACAACAGATCCACTTACTCATACAGTTGGTGGACATTTTCCCATTAATAGTGATATGCTAAGGGAGAAGGCAGCAAACCCAGAGGAGAAAACCAATCATGTTACCTGTAATAACTGGCACACACATAAATCATGACAATAGGATTCAGTAAGGAGTTGCAAGAGGGACAGAATAGGGATTGGTAGTGAGGATGGTCAGTTGATAAGAATAATGGTTTGTGGCAACACAATAGGAGATGAATAGTCTTTTAACTTAGAAGTACTTCTAAATCTGGAACTAACCCTGAAATTACAATTTTAGGAAGATATTAGGAATGGTGTTTATCCATCCAACAATTTTTTATCTAATTAGTTACATTGAATCACAAGGTGGGCTGCAAATAAATTAGTAGTAGCAGTAATAGTTTTTCCATGAATGTTTCTTTCCAAAAACCTGCCTGTGTATTGTTAATTGAAGTGTGTCCAACTGAACCTAGTAGCTGATCATGTGGAACAAGATGTTCTCTTTGTATTGGAGTCCAATGTTCTACTCAGTAAAGAGGCATAAAGTCATGGGTGTTTTGGGGAGGAAGGAGATGAAAGTAAATGACATCTGTCATGATGCAAATTGCTTCATTTTGACATTAAGTCATTTTGGCATCATCCCAGTTTCTAATAATCACCGATACCACAAATAAAATTAAGTATGCGTATTCCCCCCCCCCAGTCTTTGTATATTGTCTTGTTGTGATGGGGGAGTTCCTGGGAACGAGGGAAGAACCCAAAAGTATGTCAAGGTATCCCAAACAGGATCACCTAAGGTATGAAGATCATCCCATATATCCACCATTTTCAAGGAGAACATCAAGAATTGCTTTGGAGTTTTGAACTTCATTGATGGAGAACCAGAGGAACTGTGGAATGGATTTAAGGAAGTAATTAAGGATGAAAGTGAAGAGATTGCCAAAGATAAAAGAGAAGAAAGCAAACTGAATATCACAACAAACTGGAATTTGATAAAAGAAATGAAAGCCAGGCAAAACAAAAACCTCAAGAAGAATCTTCGCAAAGAGTTTTACAGAATTATTAGAAAAGACAAGAAGCAGACCTACAACAACATCTACAACGACATTGAAGTTGGAAACAGGCATGGAAAAACAAGGAAAGTTTTCCAAATGATTTCTGAACTCAAAAAGACATTCCAGCCTGAAATATAGGATGGACAGATTCAAAAAGATCAAATAAAGATGAAAGGAGCATACAGAAATACTGTAAATTAGAGAAATCAACATCCTATATATCTTAGAAGATTTTTCTTATTTACAAGAACTTGCAGTACTAGAAAATGAAGACAGATCACCATTTTGTTTGTTGGATAACTAGAGGAACTGATGGGATACTCACTGAAATATGAAAACTAAAAGAATCTATAAAGATCCTAATCAAGTGATGCCAGCAAATCTGAAGAATTACCCACTGGCTAAGAGATTGGAAGAGGTTGATCCACATTCCAATACCCCCCAAAAAATGCTGATGCAAGTTGGATAATTGAGAAAGCCAAAGAATATCAAAAATAAGTCAGTATGTGCTTCATTGCATAATTAAAAAAAAAGATTTTGGTTGTGTCAATCATGTCAATTTATAGCACATGCTTAGAAAAATGGGAATTCCAAATAATCTCGTCCTTATGCAAAATCTGTACGCAACTCAGGAAACCACAATACAGGCAGACTATGGTGAAGCAGACTACCTTCAGGTTGACAAGTGAGATAAGGCTGTATACTCTCCCCTTATTTATTCAACCCATATGCTGAATGTACAATAAGGAAAGCTGGATGGGAAGAAGATATGGTTTAAAATTGAAGGAAGAAAGCATCAATAATCTGCATGATTCTTATACGTACTCTGGTAGCTGAAAAGCAAAGGATCTACAAATGCTAACAATAAATATCAAGGAGCACAGTAAAAGAATGGATAACATTAAGTATTTTAAATGAAATATTTAAATAAAGCAGTCTAGAAATATGCCATAGACTAGCACTTGGTAGAAGCCTTGAAAACTTATTCAAATACTGGGTTTTGTGAATGCCTACAAGCGTCAGAATAGTGTGAACCATGGTATTCCCTCTGATATTCTATAAAATGAAAATTGGACTTTGAAGAAGCTGGATAGAAAAAGTATTGATGTTTTTGAACTTTGATGTTGGAGAAGACTTCTGAGAATACCATGGAGAATACCAGCTAACAAAACAAACAAAACAACCCCGAATTTTCACTCGAACACAAATCAACCGACTCAAATTATCCTGCTTGAAACACGTTATATGAAGGCCTAACTCCCCGGGGGAACCTCTAATGTTGGGAACAGTGGAAAAAAGAAAGAAAAGAGAAGAGGATGAGGAGCAAAGAGGATGGACTGAATTACAGTGGTTGTGAGCATGCTCTGGGAAAATTTGAAAGACCAGATTAAAGACTTATCATCATGGAGAAAATCTATGTGGTTGCTAAGAA